ACAATTGGATTTTTGCTGGATGCTGCCCACAAGGGGTTTTCTTAAAGAATTGCTGGGTTTTGTGTCCCAGATTCATCCTTTGTGACAAAATAAAAGCAGTATTGATACCCTGTGTAGTGAGAGAGAATTGCAGATGGAAAAGGATCTCTGGACTGATATCCAATCATCCCTCCCTGCTGCAGGCAAAAAAGGGGATTTTTCCCTGTTTTCTTGCGAATATTTTCATTTCATCTCTAAAAATCCTTTAGAAACTGTGCAGAATGAAATGGTGCAACTTGATGGTTAAAGAATTGCTGGGTTTTGTGTCCCAGATTCACCCTTTGTAACAAAATAAAAGCAGTGTTGATACCCTGTGTAGTGAGAGAGAATTCCAGATGGAAAAGGATCTCTGGACTGATATCCAATCATCCCTCACTGCTGCAGGCAAAAAAGGGGATTTTTCCCTGTTTTCTGGCGAATATTTTCATTTCATCTCTAAAAATCCTTTGGAAACTGTGCAGAATGAAATGGTGCAACTTGATGGTTTTTAATAAAATCCTTCCCCCCAAAGCTTTGCCTTAATGACTTTGTTGGCCCTGAAGTTCTCTGTGCTTGGATAATTCCAGGAGCACATTATGGCATGTGAATTGGAAAAGGTTTTGTGGGGTTTTTTTTTTCTACCCAGTCTCATAACCTGAAAATGGAAGCCATGAGAGATACTGGAAAGCAAAAAGCAGAAATAAAGCTCCTCCCAACCTCCATTTATCAGCAATTTCTGACATACTGGGAGCAATTGGTTTTATCTTCCAGCTTTAAACCAGGCACAATCAATGCTCAGATTAGGAGCTGCTAAATATTCCATGACAAAATGTATAATTTTTATTTATTTTGGAAAACGTGCCAATTCTGTAGAGTTGCATTAAATCAGGTTTTATTTCACCTTAAGGAAATATTCTTGTGTAGAGCTGAACCCAAACTTACTGGGGAGAGGAAGGGAGATAAAGGATAGATAGATATTAAAAGATAGATATTAAAAATCTTTTGGAGCAATAGTCCCTCACTCCTAACCTGCCTCTGGGTCTCAATAATTGGGTTTTTGCCTGACATTTGTCACCCAGTTTCAGAAACTTCAGCCTCTTGTTCCTGGCCTTGTTTCATCTCCAGCTGCCAGTGACCACTTAAATAGGATTCTGGATTTATGGCTGCACAGGGAAAAGTAGGATGTTCTTAATTTAGACTGCTTAAGGCTGAGCTGGGGTGCTGCTGGTGATGTCCTAAAACCAAGTTTACTGAGGGCATGCTTTTGAAGAGATCAGTGCTGTTGTGCCCAAGCTGGGATGTGCAGGTGTTGGTTTGGGTTGTGCTCACATCCTTCCCTTCTCCTGTGCTCCAGGAGGGGATGGGAATGGGATGGGATGGGA